TAGATTTCCTGTTGTTTTCCTGATACATTGGGTGGGGGGAAAAACATTGGGGATCATTACTCTATATATGGTATTTTTTTGATGAGCCAATCTGTTTTAAAAATGTTCAATTGCCAGGTTCTCCTATCTTTCTTTTTAAGCCATTATAATTGTCAACTGATGGCCATCTCTTTCTGGGCTTTATTCCAGTGGGCAATTCACCACTTTCAAAATGCTTAAACCAGTTATGGGCAGAATGACTGGGTAGGGTTTCATTTCCTTCCATTTCCTGAATTGTGCAACCAACTTGAGTGGCTTTCAGGTTCACTTTAAAATAATGTTTCAAAATTGCCCAAAACTTAATACCTGTATTCACCACCAGTCTGTATTTTCTGCCACTTTCTGGTGAGACACATGACCCAGTGGATAAAAGCATTGGTTAAAGAAAACCAGTGACTTGACCCAAAGAGTTGTGAGCTGGCCACAGTCGAGGTGGTCAAAAACTTGGAGAGTTACTAAAGTGAATTAACTGAAAACTGAGATATCCAGAAAAGGCATGGCACATGGAACTAAAACAATCTGCCCCTGTGGGTGAAATAAAAGGTTTGGTTTGAAATTCTAATGGATGTCAACTGAAGAAGGTTGGAGCATACAACTGACAAAACATCATAAATATTGACAATAAAGATGAGGACAATAGTCTGAACAATGTAAACAGTGTAAATACATGTATTCACCATTATAATGTCTTGAAAAAAATTACATATCTGATAAGTATTGATAATAATACGTAATATGATGATTGGTTTTTAGATGTAGGCATGAAATGAAGTTTAGATTAAAGACATGGACTGTTATGATAAAACAAATAATAATAATAATAATCTATATAAATAAAGCAGAGTGTATGTGTGTCCATCTGTCTATCCATCCCTTTTTTCGATTTTAGTGAATCGTAAGCAAACTGAAAACTACTGTAGTTACATGTGATTAAAAATTGGATAAATAACAAATTTAAAGTTAAATTTTAATATTGAACAGAGTGAAAGGTTTAAAAAAAAACAATTCTTTATTAACAGTTTTTGTTTTTGTTGCAATTGCAATTAATATTGTCCAATTAAAATGTAATTAAAACTTAAGCAGGGTGTGGTACATTGCTCATATTTTTTATTTATTTTTTTGTAGCATGTTTGCCGTGATGTAATCGAAATATTACATAGTTCTCGTTCCCTAATGTCTTTTAAGATTGGGTTTATGTGAAGAGATCATTAAAGAATGGTGATTTTTAAGAGAAAATAAAAATTGTGTGCAAAATAAATATAAACAAGCTACAGAGATCAGATGTATATATGAAGAAAGATTATGCCGAATTAGTGTTAAATAAAGATTAAGTAATTTAATCATTTCTAAATCCTTATAATATTTAAGGCAAAAAGTCAAAGGCCCAAAAGCCCCCCTTGTAGGAGCTAGGCTAAATCCCGCCCAAAGGGCAGGTCTAATAATAACAACAACAACAATAATAATAACAATAACAATAATAAAATTAACAATAATAATAACAACAACAATAATATCATTAATAATAACAACATTAATAACAACAATAATAATATTAATAATAAGAACAACAACAACAATAACAATAATAATAATAATAATAACAATAATGATGATGAAGAAGAGCTAGTACCAAAATAATAGTAAAAGTAAAAAAAAAAAATGTTTAATTTTCAAGGTGTGTGTGTGGTGGGGAGGGGCTGCTAAAAATTCTTCTTGCCTGGATCCCACTTCTCAAAATCTGACCAAAAGATAAAATATCATCATTTTTTTTTTTTTTTTTTTTAAATCCTTGCTTGTTTGGACTAACAACGTTTTAGAAGTCCTTTGAAAATAATACTAATAAAAGAAATCGGTGGAGCAAATGTGTTAACAGCTTGTGTTAATCATTTAATGATTAAATATAAAATTGTCTCTCATTCATAACCTTGTAAATTAAATGAAGACTTGTCTGTTGACAAATTTAAAAACCCTGATTGACAAAGATCTAAATGCACTCTAATTATGTAACTCGTTTCTTAAAGGCTTTAATAACAGATATTTTCAATTTAGATTTGGTTTTCTTTAAAAAATAACAAAAAACCTTTTTTTTAAGAAAGGAAATGTTTATTCCCTCCATTTTAAAGAAATCGGTGATTCATCCCATGAAGATGTTTGTCCTTGATATTTTTTTTAACTCACGTGAATTTCTAGTTGAATTCAATGTGACTCAACTCATTTCTCTATGATCTGTTTTCTTTTTTTTTTCTGACCCTTGATACCATTGTCACTGTACCAAGTCACCCTTCTATATATCACCCCCACCCCTCCAACTCTGTTTCACTTAGAAATTACAAATCTGGATATTTCTGTTTTCTTCCAAGATGTCTGTTTAAGTTTTCGTGTGCATAATTTAATGGCCGAGAAAGCAGCCAGATATTCTGTCGTAGAACTGATCTGGGAATCCCAAACCTCATGAGATTCAATTTGGAATTCTCCAACAGAGCAGTTCTAACGTAAATACAAGGTCTGTCTGGAAATAGCCCAGCTATTTAATATCAGAAAAAGAATATAGCCCCCCCAAAAAAAAAACCCCACTCAGGACAGGTGCATCACACACTTATACCAGGATCCCTTACATTTATTAAAACAAGCTGCCCAGTTTTGCTCTCCTTAATCTCGTCCATGGATTTAACAAACAAAAAAAAAAAATTATATTAGCTAAAAAAATCATACAGAGCCAAAATTTTGACTGATACACTTGGGTGACGTATTGTTTTTACAAAAATACTTTTCACAAGTTGTGAAAAATTGACTCCTTTGGTCATTGTGAATGTGTGAGTCAGACAATGCACACACTCATTTAATGGCATTTCATTACCAACTGAATAAACTCACAGAAATGTATCTGTTGTAGGCTTTCAGAGTAAATTCCACTCTTTGCATCCAGGTTACACAACAGGTTCCTGAGATATTTAAAATGACTGGATACATTCTGGAGAGATTTTATAATTATTTGAATGTTAATAACTGTTATTGAATTATTCTTGCTAATTTGTTTCTTTTCACATTTTTTTCTCCATTAAAATATATTATTAATAGAAAAATAGATTCTAGAGATGTACATGCAATTGCTTTAAAACGTATTCTGTTATTTGACACTGCTGATATTCTATTTTATAGATGTAATTGTATTTACTAAACTTAATTATATATGGTACAAGGACACAAGTATGATGGGGGAAGTCAAATGTAGATTAAATGTCTATAATATTAATGATTTATGAGATGAACTTTCTAATCAGTGAGGTGTTCTTTTGGCATTTTGTAGATATAAGTAAAGGAAATATTAATTTTCAAGATAGGATTTTGTTGCAAGTAATTAATGTGTTTGTAAAATAAACAAAAAGGATTCCCATCACTCTAGAAACATAATCTACGCATTCAGGTTAAAAATTAAAAAAAAAAATCATCCTTGATAATGGCTAATAGAATAGCCAAACGTGCTTGGATATAGAAGAACATTTGGACAGTTTTTACATCGTTTGTGTCCAGAAAAGAAATCATTTATAGGAACACAAGAAAAATTGAATAAGAAACTTAATTGCAGTACCTTGTCAGTTGTTCTATATATATATATATATATATATATATACTCACATCAACACAACTATATATATATTAAAGATGGCTGATAAGGTACTGTGATTAAGTTATTGTATGTGGATACATACATACACACAAACACAATTACTCATGAAAAATAATAATCTAAATGCTACTGGTGGGTGGGTGTATATCTATAATCCTTATAAGAAAATGATTAGCAAATAATTTTTGGGCTTGGTTGCAAAATATATGGCAAAATATATAAAAATGCAAAAATAATGAAAACTAATCAAATAAATTAAAAAAATTAAAAAAATGTTTGTAAAATATCAAAAGATTTAAAAATAGAATAATCCTATTAAAAATGTATTGCAGGCATTTTTGTCTCACTGCAAACTTTAAAGAAAAAAGAATGAAACATCGCAAACAAATAATCTCTCTCACACAGGCAGGATGTAGCAAGCCTCTTGCTGCTGTATTGCTACTTTTGTGGGTAGTGTTTGGATGAACTACATTCCTTGCTTCTGCCAGTTCTTACCTTCACAGGAAGGACCTGCCATACTACTAACACTGTAGTAAACCACCCACATTCCCTGCTTATTCTATTGGTCAGAAGTAAGTTCCACTTGAACATCTTCTTCCTGTGAACCACTGCTCGATGGAACCGACTTCCAAGAGGATGTTTCCCCCGATTGATCTGTTCAAATCTAGGGTTAACTGTTACCTTCCCTTGCTATCTATACAAACTGCCTCCTAACATAAACCTCTACCTCAAGTCACCCCCAGGCCTTGTACAGGGTGAAACTTACTGTAAAAATAAAAAATTTTCAAGATAGCATATTATCATTCTACAGGTTGTTTTGACTTACATTTTCATTATTTTTTTGTTATATTACTATACCAGAAAGTTAGTGTACAAAGACAGGCATCTGAAGGAAATCAAAGAGTATAAATGCTAAATCAGAAAATCAAGATGAACAAAATAGGTAGAATAACCAATGATAATTCATCTCGGAATTCTGTCAAAAATTAACACACAGTTAAGAATGATTTTATGTTTTTCTGGCTTGTTTCTTTTCATATTAAAAAAAAAATATGAAAGATAGAGCAAAATGAAAAATTTCTTCACCTTCTACTTTACAGGTGCTTTGATGACAGGTAATTTTTGCATGCTTGCCTTGTGTGTTGAATATTAAAATATTATGGCCAGACATTACAGATGAAAATGTAACATATTTGGATATATCATAGCCAGACTTTAGAAGTGATATATTTGAATATTATGATAGCCAAACATTAGATGGAAATGATAAACGTTTGGATATTCTGATGGCCAGACATTACTAACAGAAATGAAATATTCTTTCTATTTTCAGGTTCTCCAGGCTTGTGGTTGTTCCCCTTACAATTCAACCCTGTCAATACAGTTACAGAAAGTGTTCCCTTGCCATATGGAGTGTAGCCGGTGAGCCAGCCAACCATCGCCATCCACCTTTCATCACCTGTGGTTCCTGCAGTTGCCATCCTCATCCTCATTAAATGTTGTTTTGCAACTCATAAATACTGCTGCCAGCTAATCGGCTCCGTGTCTGTTCCTTCTTGTTTCTTGCCTTCCTTATTGTGGCAGGAAGAAGCTGGTCACTGGCTGTTCTTGTACCTGGCGGCCAGTCAGTCATTTTTTTATATCAGATGTAACGATTGGGCGGCTGGCTTCTGGTAGTCATTGATTTTGGGAACTTCTGCAGACACCAAAGCAACTTTGGAAGACTGTGTCCTCATTTGAATGATTCATTTTGGTTAAACAAAAAAAAAAACAAAAGACAAAGGAGGGGAGAATTAAAAAAAGAATACAAAGAAAAAAAAAAAAAGGAAAGAACCTCCCCTCTTCCCCATCTACTGGTTTCATTTTTTTTTTCCTTTTCTTTCAGCTTATTTTCTGTATTATGTGTGATGGGTCAATGGACATTCATACTCGCTTCCAAATATGAACATTTTTTTTGTCTGGTCAGGCTCTCTTGATCCACAAAAAGGATTTTTATTTGGATCCTGCCATTGGAATCTACACACACACACACACACACACACACACACACACAAAATAAAATGATGAAAGTAATTATGATAAATATATATGAGTAATATTTGATAGCAATAAAGTTATAAGACAAATAAGTTTGATAAATATTCTAGTTTTACCCGTTGGTAAGAAAAAAAAAAAAAAGATGCCATATTTTATTAATCTCTTACTATTATTATTATGCTTTCACATGAGCTGCTTTAAATAGATATTTTTCATTTATTATTGCTGTAATTTTCATGGAGTCCGGATTTTTTTTCTTCACCACCTAGCTTCATAAACATCTTTAAACAATCCACCATTATCATAACAAAAACACTGCCACCTAGCAAGGGAGATAACTACAGCAATATGTTAGACATTAGACCAGGTGTTTTTTTGTTTGTTTTTTTTTTCCCTTTTCTGACCTTTTTACTCTTGTGGAACTAGTTTTCATGTCTCAGGGAACACCTGCATTAAAATTATTATATACAATTATTAATATCTATCTTTCTTTGATATTTTTTTTATTGTAGTTCATATAGTAAGCATAATATATGGACACTTGTCCTGTACTCGAGTGAATCACAAATATGTCATGTACAAGTCCTGTCCACTGACCAGTAAAGACGGTTTCAAAGTGATGCCATATAGATATCACTAAATACATTCCCTATAATTTTTATAATTTTAAATAACATAACAGGCTTAAGCCTTTATTATAATAACCAAGGATTTTCCAACAATATGCCATATGTGTATAGTAAAATTATAAATATGAAATTAATCAAAAATGACCAAAAAATGCATAGGCTATTTATCACTGTTTGTTGCAGAACCCTTATGGAACTCCGGTGTTGGTGGGGACACCAGTTAAGAAAAACTGCATTAGATTAAAAAAATTACAGATATAAGATATTTAGCATAAGAAAAAAAACTAGTAAAAAAAAAAAATTAGAAGTGAAAATACATAATCTTTATATATATATATATATATATATATATATATATATGAAACTTAAAACCATTGATATTATATCTAGTTTACCTATTCTGTCAAAAATGAGAGCCTATTTTGTTAACTCCTTACTATTAAGTTTTCAGGTGTGAACCTTTCAAACCATTTTTTCCAATTATTGTATTAATCTGTAGTAATTCTATGAAGATCAATATATTACTTAATAGAAAATTGATGCCCCACTTCATGTCCTGTAGAATCTTACATTAATATTAGTTCAGTTTCCTGTTATTAGGAAGTTTTCATACATAAACCTTTCAGTATATTTTTTCAGTTATAAGTAGTAATTCTTGGGAAACCAATTTATTACTTTATAACAATAGAAAACAAACAACACACTTTATATCCAACAGAGTTAATACTAATTTTATTGTTTCCATCAAAAGTGACTGCATATTTGGTAAGTCCTTACAATTACTAAGTTTTTATATGTAAATCTTATATATTGTGAAATGAATTAAGTCTGACAATTATTTAATATATTTTCTGTTTATATGTTATTTTTATAGATCGAGCATTTTCTTAAATAATTTATGTCTCTTAATTAAACAGTATTAATTACATTTAGCGGCCTGAATATAATAGACCAGGTGGTTTTTTTTTTGGTTTTTTTTCCCTTTTCTGAACTTTGTATGTTGTCGTTGTTTATGTTAAGATATGTTTCGTGAGCAGAAATGATCAATAGAGAAAACTCATCAAAGGTGTTTGTTTATAAACAGAAATTCGGACTTTGCTAATCAGACGCTTCTTTGTGGCTGAATGGTTAACATGTCAGATCAAGTGATGGTTCCATTGGGGTTATGGGTTCGATTCCTGTTGGGGAGTGTGTATTTTCTATGAAATTTCTCGAACAACTCAGGCCGGTGAATGTAATTAATACTGTTTAATTAAAAGACAGAGCATTTACTGAAACTATATCTTTAAAAATAACGTATAAAGAGAAAATATATAGTCAGTCAGTTAAGTCCCACATGTGATACATGCTTTGGCAATCATGTATCTTTCAATACGACAAGGTAGAAGATTTTTCCCGCAGTAGGTTGCCATTTATTTCTGTGGTAGACTGGTTGCTAACCAAGGCTAAAGAACCCAGTCTGTCCTGCTATTCAATCCATAGCTGGGAGGAGAAGAGATTCATACCGAAGGATGTTTGTGTGTAAGCGAATCTAAGGAACTTGTCTGGGATTTAAACTTGGCTCTACAGAGTTCTCATTCTGAGCTGATATCCATTACACCATAATGCACATCCTCATATATGCCATTTGCAGACAGTACTGTTTCGCTGTATCACAGCTCCTCAGTGCGACTAGACACCCGGATACTTCAAGCCCAGATCGAAACCCAACTGATCAGTCAGAGTTTCTACCACTGAGCTATCTAGAAAGAGAGAGAGAGAGAGATTGATAAATAAAAAGTACTGAAAAGGTCAGTTTGATTATATTTTTCCAATTTTCGAATAAGGTACTGAGTATTGTGATTGAAATTGTGGATAAACTGTCCAAAGTTCATGTGTTGTTGTTTTGTTCAAGTACTTTTAAACAGAAGAACATGAACTTTGGACAGTTTATCCACAATTCCAATCACAATACTCAACATCTTATTGGAAAAATATAATAAAAAAATTAATCAGACAAATCTTGTCAGTTTTTTATTTTTTTTAATCAAACTTGTTTGGATGACTATTTGCTGCCTAAATATACCATATTCATTTGTAACATTTCTAAGTATAATGAAAGTGTATAGAATAAAAACATTATATTCTTAGACTATTGGTTATAATTTTCAACCTACATTTTTCAAATGCGCCCCGATGAGTTTATTTTTTTTTCCTTCGCTTCTTTAAAAGTTTCAGGTTTTTCAACATCAAACTCTTTCTGCCAGATAACCCCATTTGTGTTGATAAAGTACAATCTCTTATTGCGGTGGTCACATGCTGGGTATTTTTCGGATATGCTTGTTTTATCAATTTTATTCATTATGGCATCTTTTTTTTTTTCTTAATTTTCTGACCATTCTGTCATCTGCCAATGAAATTCTTCCTTGCAAATATATTACCTGATGGGCTTATTTCTTCTGGTCACTCACTTGAGGGCTTATTTGGACATGCTTGTTGTAGTGGTATTTTCCAATTATTGTATTTATTGGTGCGACCAAAACTGCCATCATTCAATCAATTTTTTTTTTTTTTTTTTATGGTCTTTTCTAGATTTCAAGGAGATGATTCTTTCTTTGCATAATTTATTTGAAATTAACATGGTCAGTACAAGGGAGATAAATAGAGATATATGTTCCTTGCACTGGCAGTTTTAAAAGTATAGACAAAAAAAAAAATACAATTAGCATAGTACACAGTAACATCTAAATGTATATTTAAATCCACTTGAAACAATCTGGAATTTGAGATTGATCTCTCAAACCTTTATCTTTTGGCATTTTTAAGCGAATATTACTTGTATATTTCAATTACTTTCATTTTGTTAGTAAAGGAATTATTATGCATAGAACTTTGACATTGTGCGCATAAATGCAACCATCTATAAAGTAATAAACACTGTATATACATATATAAATAAAGATGCATCGTGCAGCATAAGTTACAAGTTGTATTCATGGAATAAAAACAGGATAGGATCAAGAGGGATTTAAAGTAATTGGATCATTTGTGCTCTACTAATATTGCAGCATGAACACTAATCTGCTTAAGTTTCATTTCTTGGGACTTTGTTATTAGGATAGCTTAACCTTATTGGTATATATATATATATATAGAGAGAGAGAGAGACAGAAGGAATCTGTTTATCTCAAAAGATAACAGTAGTGTTTTGTCTGATCAGAATTCAGTTCTTTGTTCATAAGACTGGAGTGACCGTTGCAGGATGCAGGCTTGGGTGATGGCATATGCAAGCCATTGTGCCCTCCACACTCTCACCTGTACTGAATAGATCCAAAGGAATATAGGGTATTACATTTAGGAATGGCTTGGCTGCAGGAGTTACCAGAAAGTTGTCAGCATTGACCATCAACTGCTTTTGGGGCTCCACTTAGGGTTTTCTGTCTGGATTTACTTTCATAGACTTTTTCATGTTTTGGATATGACTGGAAGGCAGTGGAGGTTTAAGATCAGTTTTCCTTCCCCTAGATAGGCAGCCTTGTTGGGTAGATTGAGCTCCATCTACCCAAACCAGTTGGTTAATAGGTACCATTTGTCCACCTTTGCCCATTCTTCAGTTTAGTTATTTGATATGCATACCATTTTTATATATATATATATATATATATATATAGGGTGTCCATAAAGTTCGTGTGCACTTTAAAACTTTATAACTTTATTTGTATTTGCGATAGAAGTAATTTGTAAAAAGGATTAGAAAGAAGTAAATCTATATTTTTTTAAGGTTTATTGAAATTTTATTTAAGTTTCCACATGTCCTCCATCATTAGCAATATAAAGGGTAATACGATTTTGCAGTTTACGGAAAACATTTGCCAACTGATTTACAGTAATGCCTGAAATCACATTAGTTAATTTAGGTATACCTAAAACTAGGTACATTAAACTTTGTAACATTTTTTATGGACACCCTATATATATATATATATATATATATATACAGTGCTGTTCGATAAAAGTGACTCACCTGATTTT